GAGAAGGTGGGAGAGGGGGGAGGAGGACAAGGGCACTAACCCCGACTGCCTTGTCTGTGGGAGACCAAAAATCTGGCCCAGCAGAACAGGGTGATGGGGAGCCCCCCAGAGCTAGAAGGTGAGTGTCAGGGGCATAATTAGCACTCTGGGGAACAATTGCAAGGGTATCGTCTGTGGCTGCACCCATCACACACAAATCCACCTGTGCGCCATGTGAGGCACTAAGCTTGTATCGATGTAGTTAGTGATACAGTGCTGTGCAGATACCATGTTCCTCATATGGCTGTTGGCTGACTTAATTTCATGCAGGTCAGGCAGTTAGAGCCAAGCTGCCCCCTACTTCCAAAGTGGAAGCCTAGACAGCTGCTACCCACCCTCCAGCTGAGAACCAGCATGGGAAGCCTGGGTGGTAGAGTGGGGGTAGCCGGCTGGGAGTCCTGGAGCCTGTGTGGCAGCTGAGCTCAGGCAGGGAGAGGCCCTCTGAGCTGCAAGAGAGATGTTTGCTCCCCACACTGCCCCTGTGAGGCTGGTGGAAGCACACCTCTGAAAGGAGGGTAGTGGGGACATACAGCTATCACAGTGATTACTGCAGTAGTGTAAGTTGACCTAAGCTTGGTTAGTTTATGTTTCCAGTGTAGATGTACCTTCCCTAGGAAGAGAGGGAAGTGGTTGGAGGCTGCAGCAGCATAGAGGCAGCAGCCAATACCTGGGAAGAGAGTCTGAGGTTGGTACACCTAGAGGGAGGAAAGAAACCAGGAGATGCAGAAAGCAGTCCAGGGTAAGAGCAATAAGGGCTGGGAGAAGATGTAGGGTTCCTGAAGCAGAGGGTAGGCCTAGCTTCCCCTACCAGCCACCAAGGGTGGGAGGCATAGACCAGAGGGGCAGCGACCAGGAAGACTGATCCTGGGAGAGAGAGAGAAAATGTAGAAGACTGTACCCCAGAAGTGAAGTGCTGAGTGACCTACTCAGAGGGCTGAGGCAGGCAGATGCCACTGGTCTGTGGGACAGGAGAAGAGCTGCAGACGCCAGAGAGACAGTATGACAGCAAGCAACCACAGAAAAGGGCATCAATCTTAAGAGCTAATTCTAAGAGTGATTAGTTACTGCACATCCCCTTGCAGGGGGGTGCCCCACTCACTGCTTGACCAGAACGTTCCCCCAGTCACAATTCAGGTATTTCTGTCACAGTCCTGAGCCTTGGGGTGTACCTACCTAAGGCTCTAAACCTCTCATAGCTTCTACCTACGGCCATGCTGTAGCTCCCATCACTGTAAGTACCCAAATACTTCATAGCCTTTATTGTATTTACCCTCATACCACTGCTGGGAGGTAGAGAAGTTTTCTTTTCCCCCAATTCTCAGATTGGAAATGAGTGCACAGGGAAATGAAATGACTTGCCCATGGGCATGCAGGGAGATTGTGTCAGGGCCAAGAACTGAATGCAGATCTCTGGGTCCTCTGCTGAGGCCTCTAATTGCTAGTCCATCCCTCATCTCTGATCTCCAACAAGCTGGGCTAACCTTAAGCTGTATTTAGAGCAAGTTCCATGAGAATTCTTGAACGATTCCAGAAGCTGCTAGTGGCCCCTCCTCCTACCGTTTCTTCCCCCAGTCACTATCTATACTGATGCAGCTGAACTGCTAGGATCCCCTCCCTCGATTTTCTGCTGTAGAGAAGGCTGAAGAGATTTCCTTGTATAAGGGGAGCCATTCCATCCCTGCAGCAATTCGACTGCTAGCCTCAGATTAGAATTCTTAATTAAAACCAACTCTTGTGCATGGCTACCAGGAAAGCAACTCTTCTGCCCAAACGGGTGCCATTTAAGCACAAGATCACTTTTTGAATCCAGAATTTATCTCCAACATCTTGTCCTGCCCCTTCTGAGGCTCCACTCCTACCCCACTCCTTTAGGTCCCACACTGAACATAAGAATGGCCACACTGGGTCAGACCAAAGGTCCATCCAGCCCAATATTCTGCCTGCTGATAGTGGCCAATGCCAGGTGCCCGAGAGGGACTGAACTGAACAGGTAATGAACAAGCCATCTCTGTTCGGGCAACAATCTCTATTTCATTCCACTGCTGTAGAAATACGTACTCCGAGTGCACCCTGTGGCAATCACTTCCATTAACCCACTGCAACAGAGCAAACAGCATGGCAAAAATGGAGTTGCAGGAAAGGGATCCTCTAGAAAATTCTGTAGAGGTGCAATGCTATTCTTAAAAGTCTTTTACAAAGCTTTAGAGCAGAGGTTCTCACCCTTTCCTTTCTGAGTGCCTCTCCCCGCCCCCTCCGCCGCCATGTCCCAAATTCCATGTCCCAAATGTGACACAATGAATGTTCCCTCTAATCCTTTTCATCCCTGTGTGGAGTAATATTCTCATGTGCACTGAGACATGTGCACCACCAGCAGGAACAAGAGCCTTGCCATGGGTGCTCTGCTAATCAGCTGGGCAGCATTTGAATCCCTCCCGAGAAGCTGCACATGCACACAGCTTTACAGAACACTGACCACAACCATTTTTCTGCACATGAAGACAACTAAAAGCCAGGGCCAGCATCAGAGGATAGGCAAGCAAGGAAAATGCCCAGGGCGCCGTATGACCCTGTGAAACTATGTTGCTCAGGCTTCTGCTTTCAGCCCCAGGTGATGGGGCTCGGGCTTTCTGCTCTGGGGCCCACAGAATGTGACACCCGTCTTGCTCTATTTTAGCAGAGCCCCTGGAACCTGTTCTCAGCGTGCAGTGGGCTCTGTCCCCCAGGTTGGGGAGCATTGCTTTAGAACTCTAGTTATACCTTTCTGATTCTGTAGTTCCAGCAGCTCTGTGTCTCCGTGTAACTCATGTCTTGATATTCAAGCAGCTGCTAACGTTATTTCTAATAGAGAAAAATGCAGCATCTAGCAAAATCTGACAGATGATAGATTTAAGTGGAAGAACTGTCTAAACAAAGATGACTGTACCCTGAAAAAGTTATTCTTTTCTCCCTCATCTGCTTTAAAGAAATGCATGAAATCATGAAAGGGAAGATTAATTTATAAGCTTGGTAACCTTTCCCCCCGCTTTTTGGAAGTCAGTGAGGACTCAGCCAGTTTGTTGCATTGAGCCAGGAAAAGGGCACAAACTGTTTATTCTTCCTTTTAAAGTTACCAGTTAATCTTTTTACTCCTCTATTCCCAGAGTTCTGTTGGCCACTCCCAGGAGCTAGTGTTACCCAACTTTTACATAAACACGCAGCTCTCATAAGCTTCAACTGCAGCAAAGTCTGGAATTTGGGCTGATCAGTACTCACTGTTCACAAGCACAGACTGCAGCCCAGTACCAAGAGCTTCTGGAAAATCTTTTAAAGGTAAGCAACATTGAGATTGTTTTAAATCATCAGTTGGCTGCAAATGTATAGCCCAAAATCAAATCTTCTGGAAGATTTTCCTGGTAGGGTTTGATTTTAGGGGAAAAATTCTCAATACTAATTCCAAAATGGAACCAAGCTTCAGATTTGGTTTCTACAAACAGAAGGAAGATACTGCAGGCCAGTTCTGCAGTGTAGATTGTGAATATTTTTATAGTCACAGTTGGTAATTTGTGTATTTTTAAAAACTGCATATGAAGAGAATGTTCTAGGTTAGTCAGATGATTCATCATTGTAGAGAGATTTAGAAATAAGCCGAGTGTGTCATGCCCACACACTTCAGCTGTTTTGCTTAGTAATATTAAAAGCTAATGATTTGCTTGTCCCTTTTGCTACAATTAACTTTTTCTCCTTGCTTTTTTGTAGCCCTGTACATTTTGCTGGTTTGGTTTTGCAAACATGCTTCTGTTCCTTTACCTGGCCATTATCCTGGGCCTCTCTGCATCTGGTATTGTGAGAGGAGACGAGGAGGCTGATTCCCACAGAGACAGCCCACTTCAAGACATACGGAAAAAAGTGAATGATCTGTGGCAGAATTTACTCTACCCACAGTTAATCAGTAAGGAGACTGAGTGGACAGGTTATGCCACTTGTGAAGTGAAGCCCAGCTCCAACCTAGATGCTAACAAGCCACAGGTGACAGGCCAAGTTTTATTCAGGCAGTCCTATCCAAATGGAAAACTAGAGGTTATCTTTGACTTGGATGGGTTTCCATTACACAGCAACCAGTCTGGCAGAGCTATTCACATCCACGAGCTTGGAGACCTCAGCAAAGGCTGTGACTCTGCTGCAGGGCATTATAATCCTTTCAAGGTGAACCACCCTCACCACCCAGGGGATTTTGGCAACTTCTTGTCTAAAGGCGGCAAAATTAGAAAATACAAGGGAAATCTGCTTGCCACACTGTTTGGCCCATATTCTATCATTGGGAGATCGATTGTGATCCACGAGCAGGAAGATGATATGGGCAAGGGTGGTAATAAAGCCAGTTTGGAGAATGGGAATGCTGGCAGACGTCTAGCTTGCTGTGTCATTGGGATATGCAACAAGAACTCATGGGAGAAAAATCTTCCTGACATTACAGAGAGGAGGAAGAGGAGGATAACAAATGAGCACAAAACAACCAGGCCTAACTAAACATCAACATTTCATCTATTATTGCCTAGGCAGCACAGAATAGATATAGTTCATGTAATTGATCACAGAGACATGGGGAAGGTTTCCTTTTTCCTCTGGGTCTCTGTGCTTTGCTAAGAAATGCATATTGCGTTGTAGAGCTTTTTCCCTTCTGTAAGCAGATTAATAAAAACCAGCATCCACTCAACTTTGCAATGTACTTTTTAAAAAGGTTTAGTCTCCTGTTTATTCAGCTCAAAAGTTTAGTGTAACATGGTAAGACTAGCAAAATATTTAGTTTATGAAATCTGGAAAGAATGTGTCCATTCTAATAGATCTCTTGAGCAAGCACAAGCTGAGGTACAAAGAAAAACAAATTGATGAGAAACTGCTTTTGGCTAAGATTCTCTGCAGTTTTTTTTTTTTAATAAAGATTTCTATACCTTATACTGCTTTGTGTAGTAGCCTGGTAGAACAAGATAATAGCCTTTCCCTCAGATTCAGGGAGAATACAGACACTATTTCTATTTTTAACTTCTAATCCATTATAATATTCTACTTATATTTGCAGGTTTTATTCTCCAACATGTAGAAGCTTAACTGGTTTGAGTTATCCATACGCCTGTAGCTGAGTCACACTGTTTACATTTGAAAGTAGATTTACTATTTTTGTAAGTAGCCTGGAAATGTCTGGAGAGCTTACTACTAGATAACATGTCTGCTACAATTGTGTAACGCTGTTCACACAACGTAGATACATTAATTACATATAAAGGCAAAAATTAATAGTGTGATCTTTCAGATCTACAATAATATAACAAGTTAGTCTGTTCAGATTGCAAGGGCTGATAGTAGAAAATACTTTTAATTAATATTTTTCAGTTTGTATAAATAGTTATTGAATAAAATTTCTTTTTGTAACACAAGGAATGTAAAATATGACCACAATTTAATATATGATCCACTACTAAAACTCTAAGGCATAAACAACATTCCCTTCCATATTAATAAAGGAGAAGATAGAAGAAAACAAGTCAGGAAATTTATCTTCACTACAGGAACCAAGATATGTATTTATATATAGTTTTCATATTACACTGACTAGATTGCAAGTAAAAGCTATATTTATTTCTTAAGTACAACTATAAAACAGCAGCTAGTAAAAAAAACTTAGGAAAATTAATCTCAGTTAAGATTCTAAAATACATTTCTGAACTCATATGGATTAAAGGAATTGTAATTTCTTTACTAAAAGTTGTATATGCATAAAAATAATCTTAGAAAGGAAGCAGTGCTTTAAAAGATTATTCTTCATCTGTCATTTTCTCACACAAGATTGGTAGACACCTTTTCTGAAATAGGGTTAATTTTAAGGGCCTTGTGTCTTATTTCTCCTAGTCAAGACATGGATTTGCTACTGAGCTCCAATACAAGTTCACTGTTTTCTAAAAAGGGTATAGAAGTCATCTGATTCAATTATAAAATAGCATTCTTAAAAATCAGTTTTTGAAATGCTGGATTTGACGTTGCCGCTCTGTCTCCTGCTTTCTCCCTCATTAGTGATAAGGTTTATGGATGGATGTGCCTGTCAGAGCATGGTTTAAAGTCCAACAGACAGCACATAGGTCTCAGCAAAGGGGGCCTGATTCTTCTCAAATCTGGTGTAAATCATAAGTAATTCTATTAAAGACAAAAACTGTACTAGTGTAAAAGTGGCATGGAAAATTAAACCCACCAATGTTCAGAGTCAATTGTATTACAGCAAACAACTCTTACTTTGAGTGGTTTTGTGCTGTATTAAAGCTTCACATCTCAGCCAGTAAAGGCTCAAAAGTCCCAAGAATGAAGGCTAAAGCACAGATGGAAGGATATACGTTCTACTGCATGGAAAAGAGCAACAACTGCATTGCATTACACTGGGAGCCTCCTGGCCAGAGAGTGTGTCAGTAGGTGGGGGGGTGGGGGGGGGGGGAAGAGGGGGGGAGGGGGGGAGGGAGATGGGAAGAGATTAAGCAACACAATTATCTAATTTACAGGAGGCTTTTCAAAGAGCAGCCTGCAGCGGTATTAGAACAGAAGCAAGACAGTTTTATGTGCTGTGTCAGCCTGAGTCTGCTCTGACCTGGACCAGTTTTACACTCTTACCATAATGATTTCAACAGAGTTACTCCTGATTATTGACTGATCCAAAGTCTACAGTAGTCAGTGGAAAGACTCTCATTGACATCAGTGAGATTTGCCTCAGGCCCCTACACCAATGTAGCAGAGAGGAGAATAAAGCACATACATATTTTCAACATTTCAGAGTCAAGTGGCATATAAAAAACATTGACATTTAGGGATTAAAAAAAAAAAAAATCAAAGCAAGCCTGAATTTTGGCTGCATTTTTATTCAGAACTGCTCTAGCATTTAGCTTTAGAACACCTAAGGCCATGATGAAAGATGGAAAGGAACATATACATTGGAACAATCACCACATGGAGGGTAATATTTGTTACAAAACCCTTCACAAACATCTTCAATTATTTTTGTGCATGTCTATTTTTTCATGCATGTCAGTACTGTCATATAAATAACCAAGTCAATAATTTAATCAGTTATTTTACCATTAACATCAACAGCCCCTCTTGGGTTTTGAGGAACATAAATATAACCAGGGTGAGGGAAGAAAGCATAATTTTTTTTTACCATAGCATGCCCCCCAAGCATCTGAATTTGGACCCAATTGATTCAAAAGGGGCTGCTGATACCAGCATGAAGCAATGCCTCAGGCCCTATAAACAGAAAGGGAGCATTTCTGAGGCGTGATGCAAGTATTGCCAGCACACAGCACGACAGAACAGGCAGACAGCAGAAAAAGGGTGACATGCATGCTCCTATTAGGAGGATGCATGAAAACAAAAAAGGCAGGTCACATTTTTCAGCCTCCCATCATTCATTATATTCAGATATAACCATTACACGCAGATTCTCTCTTTTGCCAAGCGCATACTGTTCATGGAATCAAAACACCTTTGATAATGGCAGCACCTGCTAGCTCAGTTTCTATATAGAGACAAGTTTGTCAGGGCTGTTAATACAAACCCTGTTTTTCCGTAGCTGACAAGTGGGCTGTAAAAATCCGCAGCTGGCAGATATCTGTCAAACAAAGGCTCAATCTGGGAAATATTCTCCTTTTTATTAGTAGAAGTTTATTAAATTTGGTTTAATTCTCTCTGATTGATTTCAAATTCTAGGAGTGAGAAATGAACATTTACAGACCATTAGGTCCCAAGCCAGCAGAAAAATTGTCTCCATGGCTGCTGGCCCATAGAAGCTCCACAGCTGCAGAAACTGCTCCCTATTCTAAAAAGGGGAGAAGAAGTGCCTCCCCAACTCTAGCAGCTGTGAGCTCCAACATGAAGTGCTCCCTTGCTGCTGCCTTCCTTGCCCTGAAGGCCCCTCTCTAACAACAGAAGGGTTTTTTGCTTGCACACTCGCAGCTTGGGAAGAATTTTTAAGGCCCAAAGAATAACCCACACCACTAACCAAAAGACTAAGGAGCTGAGGGAGGAAAGGAAGAGTTACTGCCATGCCACATTTTTGTTTTATACCTAATCAAAGTGGAGATGAGCCTAGATTGGAGTGGGCAATGAATTTTTATGGGGGGGGGGGGCCGGTGTCACACTCTTCCATTATATTAATTAAGGAGGTGTGGGGCCTGGAATGGGGGCCAGGTGCAGAGGGAGCTTGGGGTAAGGGATTAGGGTGTTGGATCTGGGAGGGAGTTTGGGTGAATGAGGGGATTGTGACCTGGATCGGGGTTCAGGGATTTAGGTTGTGACCTGGGACAGGGGATTAGGGTGCAGGGTCTGGAGAGGGTTGTGGGTGCAGGAGATTATTCCAGCCGGACGGGAGGAAAGAGGGGGGAGAGAAACAGGTGTACGGAGGAAGGAGTGCAGGGTCTGGTAGGAGAGTGTAACCTGGAGCACAAGTACAGGGATTTTGGTTGTGACCAAGGATAGCAGGATTAGGGTGCAAGGTCTGGGAGGAGGTTGTGCTACTCTATACATACACTCACAGCAAGTAAATACAGAGAAGGCAAATCTAAAAAAAATAAACAAAACCCTGTCAACCTTTAGATCTTCTTCAGCTTATCACCTCAAATTTTCATCTGCTAAAAATCCCCTTTGAAACCCTTAGAAAACATACCAATAGGCATTGGACATTATGCATGCTATGCCCAGCTAGGACTTGACCTAAAAATGAGAATGGACAGTCTCTTGGTCCCGTTTTTCTCCACTATGTCAGTCTCCCTACCCCATCATTTTCAAGTTCTACCCAATTTTATATATTTACATTATTTTGGTTGACTACAATCAGTAGAAAGACATCTCTTTAATAGACAAATGCTGACAGACTGATGTAAAAAAGCCATTTCTATGGCAGATTAACTTGGTTACTACCCATATTCACAGCTACACAGCTTCCTCCCTAAGAGGATGACAGAGAGAAGCTGGAGGTCTTGGGCTCATCACAAGCCATGCTGTCATTCAAATGCTCAATGTGTTCAGTGGGCTCAGATGACTTGTCACACTCAGGTTCAGGAGGATTACTGGAGACATTGCTTAAGTCAGAGGTTGAAACAGTTAGATCTCCATGTCCTTCTGTGTCGTCCGTGTCCAGTGTGTTGCCATTTCCACCCTCTCTCTCATTTACATTTTCACAGTTATTTTCTGCCATTTCCTCACGCTCTTTCAGAACCCAATTTTCAGCTACATGCTCATTCCTGTAGTTTGATGGCTCCACAGGGTCAAATGAATCAGGGCTAGATAAAGGGGACTCTTCCTTGGATGACTCACTGAGTTCTGATTGGTACACTGTACTCCGGCTCTTTGGTAGACTTGCTGTTTGGCTCTCCTCCAGTTCTGCAACTACCTGTTCTTCTGTCAATTTAATTATTTCACACCGGTTTATTTCTTCCTCCTCAGAAGGAAACTGGGGCATAGAGGAATGATAAGTCTTCTTTTGGGTACTGGTCTTTATATTTGCTTGGGAATTGTCATAGACCGTAGCAGCTTCCTCTGGAACTATCAACTCTGTTGAAACAGCGTAAATTTCATCTTGTTTTCCCTTCTCTTTTGCTAAAAGATAAATGGGACAACAACACACTAGCGTAAGTTCTATGAATTTATATACAAAAAGGACACTTAGAAGATGATCTAGCTAGTGAAACACTAGTTGTCCATCACTATGGTAAAAGATATATCAGAGCACAACTTAATTATGTTGAATTCTCCCCTGCCTCTGCAGAAGTGGGTTGTGCCCACGAAAGCTCACAATACCATCTACATTTGTTGTTAGTCTGTAAGGTGCTGCAGGACTATTCATTGTTTAAGTTTTTTCAGTTACAGATTAACACTGCTACCCCTCTGAAACTTTTCTACCTTGGCTTTTTACCCTATTCTAGACCCCCTTCAAAGAATGAACCCATCAGAACACTGGAAGTTCTTACTGGACAAGGTCCAGTTATTTCAGAGACAGCTTCTCTTACATAACTTAACAGATATGATAAAAAGGGACACTGCAGTTGATGGAACCTAGGACAATGCTTCCAGGGAAGATGCCCTGGTTCTCGTGGGGGACTTTAATCACCCTGACATCTGTTGGGAGACCAATACAGCAGTATACAGACAATTCAGGAAGTTTTTGGAGAATGTTGGGGATAACTTCTTGGTACAAGTGCTGAAGGATCCAACCAGGGTCCATGCACAGCTTGACCTGCTGCTCACAAACACGTAGGAAATAATTGGGGAAGTGGAGGTGGGTGACAACCTGGGAAGCAGTGATCGTGCAATGGTAGATTTCAGGATCCTGATCAAAGGAAGGAGAGAGAGCAGTAAAAGCACACCCTGGACTTCAGAAAAGCAAACTGACTCTCTCAGAGACCTAATGGGCAGAATCCCTTGGGATGATAACATGAAGGAGGAAGGAGTCCAGGAGAGTTGGCAGTATTTTAAAGAAGCCTTACTCAAGGCACAGGAAGAAACCATCCCAATGTGCAGCAAGAGAAGCAAATATGGTAGGAGACCCGACTGGCTTACCAGGGAAATCCTTAGTGAACTTAAGCACAAGAAGGAAGCTTACAAGAAGTGGAAACTTGGACAGATGACTAGGGAGGAGTATAAGCGTACAGCTCGAGAATGCAGGAAGGTGAAAGTGCAATTGGAATTTAGACTAGCAAGGGATGTGATAGATAACAAGAAAGGTTTCTACAGGCATGTTAGCAAGACAATGATGAACAGACACAGTGTGAGGTCCTTACTGGATGAGGGAGGTAACCTAGTGACAGATGACGTGGGGAAAGCTGAAGTACTCCATGATCTCTTTGCCTCCATCTTCACAGACAAGGTCAGCTCCCAGACAAACGCACTATGTGACACAATATGGGAAGAAGGTGGACAGCCCTTGGTGGGGAAAGAACAGGTTAGGAACTATTTAGAAAAGCTAAACGTACATAAATCCATGGGTCCAGATTTAATGCATCCGAGGGTACTGAGGGTGTTGGCAAATGTCATTGACGAGCCTTTGGTCGTTATCTTTGAAAAGTTGTGGATTTCAGGAGAGATCCCGGATGATCAGAAAAAGGCAAATGTAGTGCCCATCTTTAAAAAAGGGAAGAAGGATGTTCCAGGGAAATATAGACCGGTCAGTCTTACCTCAGTCCCCGGAAAAATCATGGAGAGGATCCTCAAGGAATCCATTTTGAGGCACGTGGAAGAGGGGAAAGTGATCAGGAATAGTCAACATGGATTCACGAAAGGCAAGTCCTGCCTGACCAATCTGATTAGCTTCTATGGCGAGGTAAGTGGCTCTGTGGATATGGGAAAGTCAGTGGATGTGATATATCTTGACTTTAGCAAAGCTTTTGATACGGTCTCCCACAATATTCTTGCCAACAAGTTAAGGGAATATGGATTGGATAAATGGACTGAAAGATGGAGAGAAATCTGAAAGTCAGGCCCAGTGGGTAGTAATCAACGGCTCGATGTCAGATTGGCGGTCCGTTTCCCGCGGACTGCCCCAAGGATCATTTCTAGGACCAGTTTTGTTCAACATCTTTATTAATGACCTGGATGAGGGGATGGATTGCACCCTCAGCAAGTTTGCAGATGACACTAAGCTGGGGGAGAGGTAGATATGCTGGAGGGCAGGGATAGGGTCCAGAGTGACCTAGACAAATTGGAGGACTGGGCTAAAAGAAATCTGATGAGGTTCAACAAGGAAGAATCCCAAGTATTGTTACAGGCTGAGGACTGACTGGATAAGTAGCAGTTCTGCAGAAAAGAACCTGGGGATTACAGTGGATGGGGAGCGAGGACTGGGCTAAAAGAAATCTGATGAGGTTCAACAAGGACAAGTGTAGAGTCCTGCAGTTGGGATGGAAGAATCCCAAACATTGTTACAGGCTGGAGACTGAATGGCTAAGTAGCAGTTCTGCAGAAAAGGACCTGGGGATTACAGTGGAAGAGAAGCTGGATATGAGTCAAAAGTGTGCCCTTGTAGCCATGAAGGCTAATGGCATATTAGGTTGCATTAAGAGGAGCATTGCCAGCTGATCCAGAGAAGTGATTATTCCCCTTTATTCGGCTCTGGTGAGGCCACATGTGCAGTATTGTGTCCAGTTCTGGGCCCCCAACTACAGGCCCCCAACTACAGGAAGGATGTGGATTCACTGGAGGGGGTCCAGAGGAGGGTGACCAAAATGATTAGGTGGCTGGAGCATATGACCCATGAGGAGAGGCTGTGGAATTTGGGTTTGTTTAGTCTAGAGAAGAGGAGAGAGGGGGGTGGGGATTTGATAGCAGCCTTTGAATTCCTGAAGGGAGGTGCCAAAAATGCTGGAGAAAGGCTGTTCACAGTAGTGATGGATGGCAGAACAAGTAGCAAAGGTCTCAAGTTATAGTGGGAGAGGTCCAGGTTGGATATTAGGAAAAACTATTTCACTAGGTGGGTGGTGAAGTACTGGAACGGGTTACCTAGGGAAGTGGTGGAATCTCCATCCCTACAGGTTTTTAAGTCTCCACTTGACAAAGGCCTGGCTGGGTTGATTTAGTTGGGATTGCTCCTGCCTTGGGCAGGGGGCTGGACTTGATGACCTTCTAAGGTCTCTTTCAGCTCTATGGTTCTATGATTCTACGTTTTTCCACATAAGGCCTGGAGATATCGAACTCCCTGCCACAAGAGATGAGTAATAGCTCAATACAATGCCACTTTCAGGAGTTAAATTAAGATCCATTTCTCTTTTCATAAGCCTTCCTTCAATAAATGAAGTTACATAGTTCACCCTGCAACATTTCTATCAGATACAATGCTTTTATAGCAGCATATGACAGGCAGGAGTAGAAAAGGCCTTTTTCCCCTCCTCAATATTTTTTAAACATTTTAAGTACATCATTACAACAAACTCCAAACGCTAAACTACTATATAAAACAATTAAGAAGGAACTGATTTATGCAATTCAAGACAGCATCATAGCGCATATAGATAAGGGGCCCGAACTAGCTTGCATCACACATGTCTTTGCTACTTAAGCTAACAGAGTAACTGACAGCAATAATAGATAGTCCACAGAGAAAATACCATTTAGGCCAAGTGTACACTAGCACTTTACAGCACTGTTGCTTTATGGTTCTGGGGTGTGAAAAAACATGCCCCTCCCCTGAGCTCAATATGTTACAGCACTGTAAAATATCCGTGTAAACTAGTTAGCTTCTCCCCACAGCCGCACTTTAAATTAAGTGTAGACAAAGCCTTAGATGGTGGGAAGGGTGTGTGCGTTTTACAAGTGTTACATCTTGTTCTCAGAAACATCTGAACGGTTTTGCCTGAAATTAAAAAACAAAGCAAACAAAGCCAAAAAAAGCCCAAACCAGTTTAGGCTGACACACACTCAGCATGGAAAATTTCAGCCCAAATGGCTGGAGTTCAGCAAAGTTACATGGAAGGGTATGCAGGTTCTTATAATAGGAAGTGTTGAGCAATCTTAATTCTGGGAGTGCTACCAGCCCTGCCCACAATGACGAATAAAATGGAAGACAATGGAATGATATCAAAGAAACACTTTCAATAAGTGAAGATTTAATTACAGCCCAATTATTATTTAAAATGAAGACTGGTACGTGTACGTTATTTATATATTCAATGAAGGTGTTAAATATGGTTTAATTTCCTATTTTTAGCACAAGAAAATAATCAGCTGATCAAGACTAAAAGTAATCAATTGCTGTCAATCATCTGATAACATGGATAATGAAGTCAAAATGCAGCTATGATCTATTTAATTTGAGGAATTAATAAAACATTTACAGTACTTCATGGTTGACTGAATAAGATCTGGGCATGCCAAAAGTGTTATAGCCATTAAATAACTTATTCAAATGTGTATAGGCATCTCTAAAAATCTACTCCCTGTCCACCAAGGAAAAGTAAAGAAAAGTAGTGTTTTCATTAAAATATTAGCTTACTACTTAGCATCTAAGAGAGCTTAGCTGGACTTTTAAGGGAAGATCTTAGAGCTTGTGATTGGGAAAGGATTTTAACAAAACGCATGCATTAATATAAAAGAAGAATCAACTGCTCAACAGCAGGGGTTTATTTCAATTTGCCAGGCACAATCAGGAGGCCTTTCATCTGTAGATCATGTCTAATGCAGGAGAATGCTAAGCAAGTTCCATAGTCTGCTTTCCTACAGTGCACTGTAAAGCAGGGGGAGGAGGAGAGAACAGGAGGGAGCCAGTTTTCACACACACATACCATGTGTTGCTTTCCTATAGCATACAGCTACGTTGCAAAATTCCTTCGAGCTTCTAAAACCTGACCTCTTGCACTATGCAAGTCACTATTCAGTCATTTATCAGTCCTTCCATGCCTGTTTGAAGGGCCTGTGGGTTGTGATTGATTGATTTAATCTTTATGATCACGGAATCTTTACCTACTGCTATACAGGCATGAAACCTTGGCTTTCACTTTTACTCTATTTGATAAGACATGTAGCATCGATCCACCTATGCCCTAGCTAGAGGCTCACCTTCATGCCTCTGTGCTGCTTCATTCTGTTGTGGCTTGTCAGCAAATGTTCGCAATGGCGATCTTGACCTCTGTAGAACAGGCAAGGTTGGGTCACCGAATGTTATGGTATCTTTTCCACCTGAAATGACAAAAGCATTGGAAAGGTTCAGTAGTTGACTAATGAGTGACCAGAGAGTTTGGTTTTGCTTAAAAATATCTTCCAGTTTAAGAACCTATCCCTCTTTTTTTTGTAGTGTCAGAAAAGGTTAAAGTAGCTCTTACAAGAATCCTTTCTACAGAACAAAGTAAAACCACAAACGTACAACAGCTGAAGTGCACAAGCCAAATACAGAAAGTACACACACACACACACACACACACACACACACACACACAGACACACACACTTCTACCAACATTCCTGGTTAAAGGGCAGTTCTCTAATTTGCTGAAAGACGACCAGCTGCTGCTGTATTCTGTTGTAATCAGATCATATTAGAAGTGATGCAGAAAGTATTATTTTTAGATTAAAGCATTACACAAATGCAGAGATCATTTACATCCGAGACTCTAAAGAGCACACCAGGCCAACAAACATTTCACTCTGTCCTTTTACCCTCTATAGCTTGCTTTCATTGTTGTACTGTCTATTACAAATGACATTTTCTAACCTATTTTTATATACATTATATCCCCAAAGGCTTAAAATATTAGTATAAATTACGAGGTAGGCAGAAAACAGTAACATTGCAAAGAAGGGAAGGCTTGAGGATTTTAATGCATGGACCCAAATCCATTTCTAAAGGGTATGGTTTATATCTGCCTGCAAGGGGGTAATTTCTCTCTTGCACTGTAGATAGAATTTTACAAGTTTCTGCGAGGCCATAGAACATTGCCAACTGATAAATAATGTCTAGACAGACGATGGCTACTACTCTGCTTGCTTGTCTTCATTAAACAAGAAAGATGACAAAGGACTTGCTGTGTCCCTCCACATTGTTGGGATGTTCTCTGTATATTGTCTTAAATCAGTATTAGAAGCTAAGATTTTCAAGAAGAACTAGTGACTCTGGGGTCCTTAGCCTAGTCTGTCAGCACCTTGAAAAAGCCTGCCAGTCAAGAACGTCTGAGCACCCTCTGTTTAAATCAGGTCCCTTACTTGTGATGTCAGTTTGGACTTTCAAAATTTCTAGTCACTGTTGAAAAACTTGTCTGTAACTATGTTTTCACCTGCCTGTTTGATGTCTGACAATGGGGATCTGACCTTGCTGGGTCCTGCTTGTTTCTAGAATACAAATAAAATAATCCTGGAGAAATTTTGACCAGGTCAAGATCAGACTTCCAGCTCAAACATAACTTGCATTTGAACTCTGCATATTCTACAGCAAATAATGAAATTATGGAGTTAGTTACTTTCACTTGGCTGTCTATCATATAAGGGAAGGAGGGACAAATTTTCAATTGAAACTGAAGGTGGCAGTTACCGAAGCAGAACAAACTGTTCCAAATGGCACAAGCTGAAGGGGGGAAAGACTTTTCTCTAGGACAGTGGTAAAACCATACCGAGAAATGGGCAGGGGCTAGATGAACAGAAGTGATTGGAAGGGGAGTAGTGACATGAAAGGCTTAGGACACAGTATGGGGCAAGTCCATGGAGATATTTTAAAAAAAATGAACTGGCTCTTCCTGAACAGAATGGGAGCCAATGGAGTTGTTTATTCTGAGCACCTTGCATAGCATGTCAGATTCAGGAAAGTAAAGCCCAAGCTGGAATGCTTGGGGCTTCCAGTACGAACACCGACCAGCCATTACCCAGTAAAACACATTCACTTTTTTACCTTCCCCATTTGAAGCCGCTGGCTCCTCAAAATAATCAGATCATCATCTATTCTAGCCATCTAAGCAATATTGTATGACCAGCTGTCATAATCAGGAGAGCTGACCAGCACCTGGCGACTAAAGGGTTAACTATGACTGGGTTAGCTAATGCCTTCAGTACCTAGGCAAGTATCATGTGGTCAGCCAACAGCAATGCAGGTAGGGATTTCAAACTGGGCCAAAGGAATTTTTGGGTGCTCTTGTGGGCCCCCACTTCTGCATATGTCATGCCAGAGTGGGGAACAGCCTTGACACAAGCCTTGAGTGTCTTATTCATACATTATAACAGTGATTCACATCCTTGTAAATGGGAGGTTTGACTCCTGCTACACCATATTCTGTGGAGAACGGTGTGAGTGTGGCTATCAAATATAATTTTGATTGAGTACAGTCAGTCCCCGGGTTACGTACAAGATAGGGACTGTAGGTTTGTACTTAAGTTGAATTTGTACTTAAGTCGAATTTGTACTTAAGTCGGAACTGGCGTCCAGATTCAGCCGCTGCTGAAACTGACCAGCGGCTGACTACA